GACTCTTCATTTTTCTCAGATGTCTAAATTGACACATTTGCACATTGACATTGCCTACAACATATAAATTTAATATTTTACTCTCACCTTCACTCAGTTCAAATATATTTAAAAAATTTCATATGATTTCTGTTTTGACCCATGGGTTATTTTAGAACCTTGCCATTTAATTGAAAGAGGTCTGTGGGTTTTCCAGCATTTTCTATTATAATGCTAATGTAGTTTTGTTCTGATCAGAAAACTTACTTTGCATTTTTTCAGATTTTCAAAATTTCATGGAATCTTGTTTTGTGACCTATAATTCTGTGGACTATAAGTTTACATTCTGTATTAGAGAATGTTTTATATGTAGTGGCAAATAATGCATATTCTATGATGTCTGATAAATGTTCTGTAAATTCCAGCCTGTTCATTTGGCTGATGGTGTTGCTCAGGTGCACTCACTGGAATCCTGTCTATTGTTTATTACTCACTGAAGAACAGAGGAATGGTGGAGAATTCCAATCATTATCAAAGTGTCTATGGCTTCACTCTTCACAGTCCTTACAAGGCTCTACTACTCTTGGACTCTTTTGTTAAGTATATATCTATATAGTCCCCACCCCTAAGTCTTACATTGCATCATAGGATGTTAAAGGTCTAGTTTTTAAATTCAATTTCAGTTTCTTTCAAGTAAATACAAACAACTTTTAAATTTAATATTGTTTTTCTCTTAAAATAATTTAAATGTATATGTGTATTTTTAAACAATATATTGCTAAGCCTTTCTATGTGATAAGAATTTGTTTTTAAAATGTAAGCTTCTGACATGCTTACAGTGTACTGACTGTCTACTTGGGACTGAATAGTAGTGAAGATAATGCTTGTGGCAGGTCAATGCATTAATGTCAGTGTTTCATGTGTAATACAGAAATATATGACCCATTCATAAGTTAAATTCAATTTAACTAAACTATATAGTGGGAAATTACCAATACGGAGTCAGGTAGAAATATAAGGGTATTTAATAGGGAAAAGCCTTACTTACTGAGGGACTTAGCCAGCCAGAGTGGCAGCAGTCTGTACAGCAAGTACCAAAGTGAAACAGAAAGAGCAAATGCAGTCACACTATGTCACTCTGACCACGCCCTCACAAGCGTGGTCAGGCACACCTGTAGCCAGCCCCTAAGAAGGCGTGGCTACAGCTTCCCCTACAAAACTATGTTATTTGAATTAACCTGTCCTGGTAGAACTGGAACTTGTTTTTATACTTAGATAATCTTAGAGTTTGAATTTATTGGATAATGCAGTTTTGCATATTGACTTTTATACACTGAAACATCTTTTGGATTTCAGCAACAAATGCTATTTGTTTTCAATTTCTGTTGGCTTTGTGATTGTCACCTTAAAATATTTCTCCTCTTTTCTCAGCAACACACTAAAATTTAAAATGAACATATGCCTCTGTAAGTAAACATAAATTCAGTTCTCCAAAGATTCAGACTTAAGGCTAAATATAATCTTGGTGTTTCAACCATCAGATGTTTGACATCTGTACTGATTTTACACTAACATGCTAAATATTTCTTGGAAAATTCTCATGTAAGAAAGTGATATATTTCAAGAAACTTAAAATATCCACTGTTTCTACAGGTAGTTGTCAGCTGCCTGGGATGAGAAAGTCAACTTTCTTTAGGGCTGTATCCCTGAATAGCTTGCCTGCCCATGCCTCATTGGGCACAAAAATGTGGGCAAAACAAATTGGAACCAGAAGGTTTTAAGTTATACACACACAATCACAACACACTCACACACACACACCCTCTCTCTTACACACACTCACATACACATGCACACAGGCATGTATACGTGAAATATACATGTATATATGAAAGAATATGGATTTGGGAGAGGATGGACGAGGGAAACCAAAGGAACAAGGGAGGGTGAGGGGAGATTTGGTCAGAATAAAATAAATTCACATAAGAAGGAAAAATACTAAAAATGTTGGAATTTAAAAAATAGTGAGAACCCTTCAGTCCAGTGCATGACAACTTTATATGTCTGACTATTCCATCTTCTCCCAGCTTTATTTTTCTTCTTTTCATGTGTATGTGTGTGTGGCATATGTGTGCAGGTTTGCATGTTCACATGTATGTGGTTTGAGTATGCACACACATATGTTGACATATATGTGTGTAGAGGTCTGAGACTGATCAGGAACCTTCCTTTATCATTTTCCCATACTTTGAGGAAGTGTCTCTCAATCAAACCAGAATTTGCCAATATGGCCAGTCTCATTAGTCAGCTTGCTGACTGACTGATATGTGAAAATCAGTCTCATCTCAGAGGAGAACTCCTCTGACTTTTGCTGTCAGCATCTGTTGACCTTGTCTTCTCATTACAACTTCTCATTTTTACTTCAGGTCTATGGGAATACCCAGTGAGACTGTGTGAGTGATTGAGATATGGAATGATTTTGACTTCTTTTGTGGTATGTGAAAGAAAACCTGAATTTCCTATGTTGAGTAATTTGTTTGCTAATTTTGTTTGCTAATTTCAAACCTTATCATTTTCTGTCCAAGTTCTATCAATCTGGATGGTAGTTGCAGCCTGGCCTCAGGATGTGTAACTAATGTGAACTGGAGTTAGTAGCACACATTTTGGTTAGATATGTACTTTCTTTATAGCCAATCCCTTAAAACCTTACTTGGAATTGAACAAAATTAATTGATGTGAAATGGATGCTGGCTATTGTTGAAGAGTATTTTGGTTTCAAAATCTCCTGGACGGTGGTTTTCCCTTTAGCATTCTATTTTATATGGGCCATATCAGAACCAATAATCTTCAATCTTCTGTATTCTAATGCCTGATTGTCTTTCGAGACAGTAACATTACTTTTATTTGTCTCCTTCTTAGTCATAAAGAGAGGATTTAGACTCCTCACAGAGGAAGAGAGGAGAATAGAAGACAAAACCATTAGCTTGAGCTTTGGCTTCAACTCTCCATGTAGCCATGCTTTTCTTCTCTTTCCAAGTCTTAATAGTACCCGAAAGACAAGATCGGGGGTCTATAATTTGTTCCTCTTTGCTCACCCCTAGGTTCACACTCTAGTGTACCATCAGAGAGATAAAGACAATGAAAATGACTGAAGTAGTAGTATACCAAGAAAAGAAAACAAATTTATACCCAAGGTCCAATGTGAGGTTGTTCCAACCTGATACTCACATATTGCATATTCTTTTTCCTTTCTAAGTTCAAGGTTTTTGTTAGAGTTTAAAAGAAAAATTCCAGGGCAGGAAAACATCAACCTCAGCAGCTACCTAGAGGACTGCTATGGAGAAAAGAAGGAAAAACATCTATGAACTTTGAAATAAGCTGTGTGGAGGTTACTCACGTAGTGGCTGGCCACTACATAGTGAAGAGAAGAACTTTAGAGAAAAATGAAGTAGCAGAGAAAGCAAACAACCACGTTTTGGGTCTGGGCAGCACTGAAATAGTCAGGAAACGAAGGAAAAGGAACAAAAGGCATGTATACAACCTCATGGAGGTAGCTGGGACTGTGCTAGGTGGTTACTCACATATTCTTACATAAATAAGGGAGAGCAAGTCAGAAGAAAGAAAGCTTTTGGTAGGCAAAGGTTGACTCAGAATCATTTCACCAAAGGTAAAGATTTTTACTATCTCACTATGGACTATAGGTGTCCAGAAAAGCATGAACTAAAAAATCCCAAATAAATGGAGTTAGTCAAGGCAGATAGCACCCACCATTGCCAAGGAGGATAACCACAGTGGCTTCAGGAGACAAGCTTTCCTGACATGACTAAATGGACAGATGTGTTGGTGTATGGTTCTAAGAGTCTGGAATATTCCTTTGGAAGTTTAATGTTCTTAGGATCAGAGGTCAAAACAAGGATACTTCTATGTCTGAACAAATACTGGTTTAAGGAAATGGCACATTTATAGTTTATTTATCTTCTCAAACTTCTTTACAATAATCCAAATTACTGATGTTTTAAGTGTTCTCAAAACAAAAATGATGAATATGTGTGATATAACATGTTAATTGGTTTAATTTAACAATGCCACTGTGAACATACTGTATTGTGTATCATAATTGTGCATGTCTCCATTTATGAGCTAAATAAATGAATGGAAAAAAAGAAGGCAGAGGCAGGCAGATCTCAGTGAGTTCGAGGCCAGCCTGGTCTACCTAGTGAGTTACAGGACAGTTAGGGCTGTTACACAGAGAAACCCTGTCTACCTGTCTCGGAGGGAAAACAAAAAAGAATCATCAAATGCAAATACACTGGGCTTATTTGCTTGTTTGTTTGTTTATAGGCAGAGTCTGGCTATGTAACCCAGGCTGGTCTTGAATCCAAGATGCCCTTTCTCAACCTCCCAAGTGATGTTATTACAGGTTTGTGCCACCATGCCCAGAAATATGTGCATCTAAATATGGAATTTTGTATCCTTTTCTATCACAAAGTATATGAAAATAAAAATACAAAGTTAATTAGAAAAAAAATAAGTCAACACTCTACTTTTACTGGTCCTAGTCATGCTGAACTTCATACTTCTTTGGCTTACTTCTTTCTCTGGACCCTACTGTTTGTAAATAGATTTTGAAATAAATTTCACAAACATATTATAAAATGTAAACATAAACTACTATTTTTCTCTTCACCCTGGAATTCCTTATATTAACCTATGTTCTATCCCCATTAATATGAAATTTTATTATCTGGAATGTTCAAAATTATTTGAAAGCAATTAAAGACATAAATGCTGTACAAAACTGGGCAAGTATCTACCCAGGAAATCCTGCTGTTTGCACAGGCACAGTAGGGCTTTCCATTTCTTTTTACAGCTTCCACTCTAAGTAAGGGTTTATTTTCTTCTCAAAGGTACATTGCATTGGCCTTTTGCAAAATTCCATTCACTATTATAAAGGAAAATTAAAGCTAGTACTGTATAAATAATAGCTTGCCTATGTTTACACTCTTATTTCCTGTTTGTAGATTCTGCAGGTCAAGTCAACTAGGAGGTCCACATCTCATGGCCCCCACCAAACTCAAGTAATTGATCTTGGTAACACAGCAGAGTTTGCTCATCGAGATGAACTTTCTTTCCTTGGGGGCATGGTATGAGTAGGGTTGCTGAAGGCGTGCTGTATTCTTCTAATAGCACAGTTGGTTTTAACAGCGGGAATCATATTTCCTCTCTGAATTCTTTTGTCACCCTTGAGCGAATACCATTTGAGCTCAGTGATATTCTTACATATAATATGTCACTTGTCCCCAGATGCCCTGTGCCATGGCCTTGAACTTGTTCTGAAGCCAGAGGGGAAACTTCTACCATGTGACTTTCACTACTTAATAAGTATTGATCTTTTTAACTGCACATGTCACCTGATGATTGAAAGTTTATAAGCAACATTCTAATTTTGCTTAAATTATCAGTGTATTTAAATAAATATTTAGCACTGTTTATTCCAGCAGGAAATAATGGAGTTGAGAGAATATACTTATAGATCACTTTAATTAAACTTTGTCCCATTCTTTTAGGGAAGGAACAATAATAAATTTTTATAAAAGCCTCATTGAATGAGTATTATATAATGAGTTAGTACAAATGTATTTATTACTGTTTTTCAGGCTCTTGATATTGTACTGGTATTTAATCAAAAGAACATTTTACTGTTTCTATAAAACAATACTTTTTATTTACTTGAAAAACAATACTTTAAATATCTTAATCATGGATAATAGTATTTAATAATGAATATCATGATAAAGAATTATTTCCATGAAGTTATTTATGCAACCATAATTAATTTTTTTTAATAATTTAAGTTAAAATTTGTTAACTCAATGAAGAGCTGTGTGCTGTCGGTTGGTTTACTTGGGTCATCATTCTGGCCACTTTTAGTTTGACATTTTTTTGGATGGAACCTCCTTCTCTTTCTCTCTCATCCTTTCCCTCACATCTGCTTGCTCCTTCCTCTCTTTCCATTCCATGTTCTAAGTACAAAATACATAAATGACAATCTTCACAATGTTGTCTCTATCTCTTGGTTCTTGGCAACTTTGTCTTATACCCATATACTAGAAAATAGTTTCTAATGTGGTCTGGATTTGTTGCATAATTGTCAAAAAATAGAAGATTAATTTGTTTTCAAAAATACAGACTTTTCTAGTGCCATTACATAAGATCAAAGCAGTCTGTGCAGGCCTCCCTCCAGTTACTCCAGGTAATGTCGCCAGTGAGTCACTGCCCTTTACAATATTCAGTGATGATAAGAATCTGGGAATAAGAAGGACAAGGGATGAGCAAAGGGGTCCAGACCAGGCTGGTGAAACCCACAGAAACAGCTGACCTGAACATTGGGAGCTCTTGGTCCCAGACTGATAGCTGGGATACCAGAATGGGACTGATCCAGACCTCAGGAACATGGGTTTCAGTGAGGAAACCTCAGAAATCTACAGGACCTCCTGCAGTAGTTCAGTACTTATCCCTAGCATAGGTGTAGACTTGGGGAGCCCATTCCATATAGAGGGATACTCCCTGAGCCAAAATACACGGGGGTGGGCCTAGGCCCTATCCCAAAGGACATGATAAACTCTGATGATACCCTATGGAAGGCCTCACCCTCTAGGGGGAGCAGAAAGGATATATGATTGGTAGGATTTTAGTTGGGGGCTTATAGGGGAGGAGGGGAGGGAGAGGGAAATGGTATTAACATGTAAAACAATCTTGTTTCTAACTCAAATAAAAAAGGAAATAAAGAATCTGGGAATATTCATGATATCAAATGGCAAACACACATTACAATATAGAGAATGTTTTAAAAGCACAAATTTTTTTTTATTATTTTATTAGTTCTAGTTAGGGAACAAGCTTATTTCAAGTCCCTTCTCCCTCTCCCTCCCCTCACCCCCAAACTTCCTCCCCCACCCCATTCACCCACCACTCCCCAGGCCGGGGAAGGGCCTCCCCAGGCCACATGGGGAGGG